CGTGATGCGGATGAGTAAAAGCGCTAGCTTGGTTCCATAGTTTACGATTACCCTGTCCTTGGCCGCCTTCCGCCAGTCTGCAGCCAATGTGTGTAATGCGCTTTCGTCAAATAAAGTGTCATGTTGCCGTATGCGTTCCATGTCGGCAGCCTTCGCTGCTGCTTTGGCTTGCTTCCGTCGTTTTTCCTCCGCAAGGCGACATTGTTTCTCTGCCTCCTCCTCTTTCTTCCATGTGGCTGTCGCCGCGTCTGCCCTCTGCTTAGCTTCGGCCACCAAATTCAGCATTCGGGCCTCGTAGGCCTCCGTTGTTTTTCATGGCTTTTGTTCCATGGCGCTTGTTTGTGATCGTATGCTCTTAGGCATATATCGCGGAACTGCTGATGTGGACGTTAATTGCTGCTGATGTGGTATTTGCTGACATGTCACTGCTGACGTGGCTTGCTGACGTGGCAACTCACCAATGCGGCAACAATGAGAAACAAAAGACAAGTGGGCGGAGAGAGAAGAGTGGAAGAGAGAAAGCAGCTTAGATGGGGTGGGTGGGAGAGAGAAAAGTGGGAGATGTGATGTTCTAGCACATTCCCCCCCCCATGGGGTCACATTGATCGCCCAGATAAGGAGCCAGTAATCAAAATTAACAAGTTTAAACTTTGCATAATAATAATTATTTCAAAAAAAAAAAAAAATCGAAATCACAAGTTCGGTAGGTCTCCCAATCCCCAAAATCCCGAGATTGAGAAAATTAGAAAAAATCTAATTTCAGACTGCACGAATTGAAGTGCAAAAAGAAAAAAAAAAATTGCAAGTTCAGGTAATTCCAAATTAAAAAAAGAGTCGTTGTGTGCGACAAGATGGTACGCTTGTTCCCCTTGGCGTCACGCACCACGAAGAGAGTATTTGTCCATGTGGATTTGTACAATAGGTCTTCAACTAGCCCAAGTCAATGACCGCGCCGAAGGGGCACTTGTCGAGGATGGAGAGGTTCAACTCATCTGTGACAGTGTGATCTTTGTCAAAGGTGACATACCCACCTTTGACAACACGTGTTGAGGTGACAACCTCTTGGTTGCCTACCTGGGTCCGGCAACGGTTTTGCGGTTCCACTTTCTTCATTCCCAAACCCGCCTTACAAATCATGTTAGGAGAAAACAAGTTAGTTGTTGAGGCATCATCAATCAAAACATGGAATGTATCGACAGTTGATGAGCAGCTTAAAGAAGATTAGCTCCGCACCCCTTTTGAACAGGGCGTTTTTGCTTGAGCTGCATCCAATGTTCTAAGTGAGAGTGGAAGTTGACTGACTTGGATTCCTCCCAAAGGTCTGTATAGAGTAGTTGGACTGCAACAACCTTGGATTCCGCATCAGTTCGGGCTTCAAGAGCAGGCTGTTTATCAGATTCAGGCTCATTGGAGGGGCCCGCAGCTGATCGTTCTGCTTCTCTTGGTGTTGAGAGCGCTGATAACTCTTCTTTGCCCTTTGCCTGTTTCCCTGCAAATGGTAGCAGTCCTGCACAGTGTGCCTTGGGTTAGGCAATGCAAGCACACGTGCAGTTTGGATCTTCTTTCCCATTCGTTTGGACTGATGCGGAGGGCCTCCAAAGGTTTGGTAGAAGCGCCCTCTGGTTTCTCAGGAATGTTTGCACTCTTGGGAATGTGGGTTATGGTTCCCATACCTGAACTATGGTTAGGCCCTTTGCCTGATGCAGTCTTTCTAAAGGTATTAAACTTTTGTTCTTCATTCATATCAGACGCAAGGGTTGATATAGAACAGCGTGCGTCGGAGTCCGACTCTAGATCGTCATCTAAAGGTAGATCATACGCGTAGGACTGGTCCTCAACCACCAGGTGTTCATGCAGGGCAAGCTGGTTGCTGCTTCCTGACCGCTTGCGTCCAAAAGACTGCAGCCGGTGCGTCCAAAAGACTGCAGCTGGTGTCTTCGCACGCCTGGCGTGGTTTTTGGCCTCTAGGTTGACTAGGTCTGTTACACAATTAGTACTTGGCCCAGCTATGGGCCGCGGGCGTGTGTCGTTAATGCGCTGCATTTGAAGGGGGTCGTTCACTTGAACGGCCGGTCGTCGAGAATTGCGACGTAGAAAAGAAAGAACCAAAAAAAAAAAACGAACTACTTTCTAAGTTGGGCGGGGGTCGTGGTCACGTCTGTTCTTGGTGGAATGCTTCTAACTAGTGTTTCAGGTAGATTCTGGATGTGTATTTTTCTGCTTTTTTTTTTTTTTTTCATTTTTCTTAGATTCTCCTGCCAGCGGGGCAGGGCGTATCCCGTGACCTAGGGAACAGCCCTCGTTGAGGGCATACTCACACTTGCACACAAACAAATGTATCTAACTAATTTCAGGGGCAAATTCATGTTTCATTTTTTTTTCTTCTTTGAGATTCATTTCTTTGTTTTTTTTCCTTATTTTACTATTGGATTCTGACAGAAACACCACGGGGCTGATACACCCAAACTGCGACGTGCTCACATTAGCACTCAGGAGAATGCATCCAACTGCATTCATATCCACAGCGTTGTTTTTTTTTTTTTTTTTTTGCTGTTTTTGTTTTCCAACTTGTCCACCCAGCCTCGGCCCGTCCAGCTACTGGTACTGCCAGGCTTGGCAGGCTCGACATACCGGTCACTGGAGGCTTGGACTTGATAGCTGGGCCAAGTACAAGTGGTTTAAGAGCTCACGCCAAGTCGAATGCTCCTTGAGTTCAAGCCGGGAGATATATCCTTCAGGGGCCACTCCCATAATTACATCCATGCAAGATACGCCAGTCCATTCCAGATCTGGAGTAGTGAACGGTCTAGTCAAGTGCTGCTCCCGACCCTGCATGGCGCTTTTGCACTTTTGGCCCTTGAGGGCCTCATGCTTCGGTCTTGCCTTGAGTGCAGCATGATTATCTCGGTACTGCGCGATGAGAAGGTCTTGAAGGGTGCAGACAGGTGTCACTTTCAGCCACTCAGTTTGTTAATCCTATCATAATGTGGCATACTGCGTAGCCACACGGGCCTGCAGGGCCCGTCCCGCACTTTCAGCCTAAAAGCCTAGAAAAGAGGGCTTACAGGCCCCCATGTCGTTTCAGCCTGAAACTGAAAACGAGGGCCTGCAGGCCCTATTTCGTTTTCAGCCTATAACAGGGCTTTTCAGCCTGAAACGGAGGGCCACTTTCGGGCCCTCATAAGATCGACCTACCCTAAACCTCAGGCATAAAACCAGGGTTTTGGGAACAGGCTATTTCTGGCCTGTTCCCCACGACGGCCTTGAGCAGGAGCTGCAGCGGCAGCCCCTGACTGCCTTCGGCATTGGCAAGAGCAGCCTCCTGGACTGCCTCGCCTGCAGCCAGGAGGTACCC